GAGGAGTTCCGGCGCGAGGCCTTCCCTGGCGAGGCCTTCCCTGGCTACGCGGCCTCGCTGCCCACGTCCAGCTCCTACTCGAGCTTCAGCGCCACGTCGGAGGAGAGGGAGCATGGCGAGGCCAGCACCATGACCGCCTCGCAGCGGGCCGTCTACCTGGATGGCCGCGAGCAGCTCTTCCAGCGCCAGCCGGCCCCCACCTACCAGAGCAGCCGGCCCTATGCCAAGGCCTCCGGGGCCCTGCTGGAAGCCCCGGTGCCCCCAGAGTTCGAGCTCGAGACGACCTTCCCCTCCTACCAGGCTGAGCCCTTCAGCCTCCAGGCCGTCCCCAAGACCCTGGTGTCTCCCAACCTGTGGAGCCTGCGGGCCAAGTCCCCGTCATCCCGCATGCCCCGGGGGGAGGCGCGCAGCCCGCGCGAGCAGTGGCGCCCCGTGCACGTGGAGGAGATGGGGGCCCACGCCTTCCCGGCCCCCTCGCGGCGACTCTCGCCCCGCAGCTTCTCCCAGCGCCACTACGCCAACGTGGCGCATGGCCGCGCCAGCCCCCTGTACGCCAGCTACAAGGCCGACAACTTCTCGGAGGATGACGACTTCTCCCAGGGCCACCTGGCCGAGTCCTGCTTCCTCGGGGCGTGCGGCTCTGCCAAGCCCATGCCCAGCTACGCTGCCAGCGAAGATGATGGCGACAGGCCCCAGGGGCAGCTGTGCGGGGTGGCCAGCCCCGAGCCCGACAGCCTCTTCAGCTCCAGAGATTCCTTCGAGCCCAGCTCCATGGAGGGTTCCCCTGAAATGCATCTCGCGGCCCGCCGGAACCCCCAGGCAGCCTTCTCCCGGAGCCGGAGCTCCGGCCTCAGCCGCAAGGATAGCCTCACCAAAGCCCAGCTCTATGGAACCCTGCTCAACTAAACGCCTGCCCACAGGCCAAGGCCACGGCCAGGGGCACCCGCCGCCCACTGTGCACTCTAGGGCGCTGCCCCACCTATCTGGACACTTACCCCCTGGGCCCTGCCCACAATGACCCCTCTCTGCCTCGAACTGACCCCTCTGCCTCAAACTGACCCCTCTCTGCCTCTTACTGACCCCTCTGCCTCAAACTGACCCCTCTCTGCCTCTTACTGACCCCTCTCCCTCTTACTGACCCCTCTCTGCCTCAAACTGACCCCTCTCTGCCTCGTACTGACCCCTCTCCCATGTAGTGACCCCTCTCTCCCTTGTACTGACCCCTCTGCCTCGTAGTGACCTCTCCCACAGTGATCCCTCTGCCTCGTAGTGACCCCTCCCTCGTACTGACCCCTCTCCCACAGTGACCCCTCTGCCTCGTAGTGACTTCTCTGACTTGTAGTGTCTCTCTCCCTCGTAGTGGACCCTCTCTCCTACATAGTGACCCCTCTGCCTTGTAGTGACCCCTCTCCCACAGTGACCCCTCTCTCACATAGTGACCCCTCTCCCTCGTAATGATCGCTCTCTGCCTTGTAGTGACCCCTCTCCCCTGTAGTGACCCCTCTCCCCCGTAGTGACCCCTCTCCCCCGTAGTGACCCCTCCCCCGTAGTGACCCCTCCCTCGTAGTGACCCAGTGCAGCCTGAGAAGAGGACCCTGTGATGTGTGACCCCAGCGCCACCACGACGGAACTCCCCGAGGACGTTTCTCACACCAACATCGTTCCCCACCCGAGATGAGCATTCCCCCCTTTTATAAAGTGAAACTATTTTTCTAGAGAAAAAGGGTCTTTCTCAACGCACGTGGCCTCCAGCTCCCTGATGGCCGCCTTGCGTTTCCAACACACAGCTCCTTTGTTTTCCGGGCGAGGACATGAGGGGCCTGGCCCTTGGAGGGAAGGACAGTGTTGACACCTCGAAAGCCAGCGGCAAGGAAACCTGGAGCTCTGCCCACGAGGAGGGGAACCAGCGGGTGGAGGGACGTGAGACGTCGTGAACTGTTTCCGCGTGCGGCTGACCCGCACCCAGCTCTCCCGTGGTCGTCGTCCCGAGTCGGGCCGGTGCTCATCCCCCAGTTCCCGGTGCTCGTCCCCGTGTCCCGCTGCCCGCACCACCTGGCTCTACCTCAGCCGTCAAGAGCCTCTCGGACTCCGACCCCCGACCCCGTCCCCCGTCCTGTGGCTTGCTCTCCTGTCGTCTGTGATGCATGCCGTCCAGTCACTACTGTATTTGACACTCTCTAATAAACGTGGTGGAAAGCATGCAGGTCTGGGCTGTTTCTTCTCCCCGCTGCCTTTCGGCCTCTGGGACCTGTGGCCCTCAGTGTCGCCTCCCCACCCCCCCACTTGTCCTTTGCCCCCTGCAGCCAGGACTGGCTCCAGAGAGCTCTCCCCCACCGGTGTCTTTGTCAAAAGTCTGAATTCTTCCACTGCCCAACCCGCTAGACGTGACCACTGCCCTGGGAGCCAGTGTTCCCACACGCGCACCCCCATCCTTTCCTGTGTGTCCGACTTCGCTCCTTTACTGGGGCTCTGTGAGTGAGACACCCCCGTTTTCATTGTCCTGCAGATGTCCTGGAGGGCGCTCTCCCCGGGGAGCGTGTTAGCGGCGGCCACTCTCCCTGCACTCGGGGTCGGGTCCCACCGCCCTGTCCTTCCCCCGGGCTGTTCCTCGGGTGGGTCATCTGCCTAGGTCTTCCCTTTGACTTGGGTTTTCTGCAGTTGCCCTGAGATGCGTCAGCTTACGGATTTGTCCTCGGGAATTCGCAGTCTTGTGTCTGCAGGTTGTCTTTCCTCAGTTCTGGGACATTCTCAAGTACTATTTTGGATGGTATTTCCCTGCCCACTCGCTCCCGCCCCTCCTCCTCACTGCATCCTCCACCTGGCCCCCTTCGGCTGACCCACATGCTCCCTATGCACCGTCTCCACTACTCCGCTCCTGTGCCCACTCAGCCACCAAACACAGTCACGGGGTTTCTCATTTCAGCTGTGAATGTTCTCCATTCCTACACGCTCTATCTGGTCGTTTGGCAAGTCCACGAGGCTACTTTCTAAGTTTCCTACTCCCTGGAGGCAGGTCCTCAAACACAGTGGGCACAGCGGTTCGCCATCTGGCCTGGCACTTCTGTCCTGTGGGGTCTGCGTGGGTCTGTTGCCCTTGGTCCCTGCCCAAGCTGCTTCGTTCCTCCAGTTGCCTGGTTATCTTTGATGCCCTGAGGGTGCTCTGACAGGTTCTTCAAGACCTGGGGTGGGGGTCCCTCCCCAGGGGCTTCATGGTCCCTCCTTCCAGGGCCAGCCGCTTCCCACTGGGGACCACTTGGCTCGGTGAGGCCTTCAAGTTCCCTGGCCTGTCCAGCTTCTCCTGTCCGGGGTGGGTTTGCCTCTTGCCAGGCAACCCCAAGTGGGAGGGGCCTTGGCGGTGGTCCCAGCATCCCTGCCCTTGACCCACCTCTGCAGAGGAGGCCAGAGGACCCCAACTGCCTCCCCCTGGAGCAGATTCACCCCAGGAAGCAGCCTCTCAGAGTCAGAGGGGGCTGTGGAAAGGCTCGGGGGCTGTTTTCCATGGGCAGACGGAGGAAGCGACCCTCACTGGACTGGGGGAGGGGGTTTGGGGGGCAACTGGGAGGGTGGAGGGGAGGAGAGCAGCCCCTGGCACCCAGTGGGTTCTCTCTCAGATGCCTTCCCATGGGGAGCCTGAGCCTCATCAGCCCCCCACCCCATGTCAGCCATGCGACACAGCAGCAAGGCTGAGAACCCTAAGGGCCACGTGGCCTTGGCCCAGAGCCCCTCTAAGATTCAGGGGTCTGGCCCCACATCGCCTCAGAGCCTGAAGTGCCCTCCTTGCCTCACAGAGCTGTCTCCAGTGGCCCCCAAAGCCAACTGCCCTGGTGTGGGGTACCCCCTTCTACCAACCCCCTTCTCCCCGCACCCGGAATCCTGCCGCACCAGGGGAACCCTGTCCGTGCACCTACCATCTACCCACCTGCCACGTGTGTTCCTCCTCAATCCCACGGGCAGCGCGGAGTGGGCGGTGCCACCAGCTGGCCACGCGACTCTGTCTGGGCAAGTCCCAGATGCCGCTGGTCCAGTTCCCCCTCTGGAGCCCAGGGCAGGGACTGGCGAGCTTCCCAGGGCCCCTCCACGGCTGACGGTCCCATGCGGAGCCCCAGCTGGGACAAGGGGATCCGAGGGAGGGGAAAGGCACAGGCTCTGGACTCATATGGCCCTGGGTGTGTCCCTCCGCCCGCCCTCCGAGCAGCGGTTTCCTCAACTGGACAGAGCGGATCATGGCCCTCTCATCAGAGCTGCGAGCATGCGCTCCACATGCACGGCCACGGCCAGGCCCGCAGCA